AGAGAGCTGAGTTCACCTGGCATGGGATATCAGCAACCAAAGCTCTCAGGGCCCAGGCTAAGTTGGTTTTCAACCTGTTGCCTGCAAGTATGTGAGGGCACAAGCCTGTGCCTCTGAAACGGTCGTGGTCCCAGCAGCCACCTGTTTCTTCCACATCAAAAAGTCCGGAGGCCATTACAGCAGCCGCGGTTATAAAAGCCAGGCACTGGCGCTGGGACAGCCCCGTCAAGAGAAATGAGACCATCATGCACTAAACATAGAGAAAAGATAAATGGAAAAGGAGTCTTTCAGTCTTCATTATCAAGTTTCCATGGGTTTGCCAAAACCATAGCAACCAGTTCAAGCAATGATTAACCTAATAATGTGGAGGCAAAGAAAAAAAAAAAAAAGTGCATTCAAGCCCCTAAAGAAGTCACTAGTTCTCTAGAGGTAGTAAATCTGCCTGCCTCCCCCCCCCCACACGCACACATCCACCCCCAACATACAGCCCCACGGCTGGAAGACCAGAAGCATCCTAAGTCTCCAGAGAAAAGAATCAGCAATGCAGTAAACCCCAACGAAAGCGACCACTTTCTGAAAATACAGCTGCATAGACATCTTTGTGGACTTCTGTAATACCTGCTCTTCACTGAGCTCTCGTGCTCTCCTTGCTCCTTTTCTTGCCCTGAGCTCTTTTGCAATTTTTTTGCAAAAACGCTACTTTTGCAGGTAAATGAGTGTGTTGTGATCCACTTCGGTCCCACGGCATATGCAGATAGAGAGGGCAATATGATACCTCCTGTAGGGAGATATCAGAGGGGAACTGGACAAGCAGGGAAAACATTTAATGATTTTATCACCCAAATAATGACGGTGTTTTGCCTGTGGCCACACACAGAGACCTTGGGGCACTTTGCAGACTGTTAGAGTGCGAAAACAATACACAATTCAGCCAGAAATGGGGGAAGGGGGAGGAATACTATTAGGTCTTTCATTCTGCCTATCTGATCTACGACACAGATAGATCACTTTCAGGACTATAACAGTACACACAGAGATAGGCACACAGCCTTTTCCTAGTCCTCCACCTTGCCCCATGGCCTGCCTTTCTCCAGCAAAGTGGGGACAGCTTCTCAGAGCAGTGAATAGGCAAAGCAAGGGGGCTCTGCGTGGATGGACGGGTCTCAGGAGGCAGCAGAAGGAGCAGATCTCCAAAAAGCTGAAGTGGAAAGTGAGATCTGCTCACCTTGCTTGTCAGCACTGGCTGCCCTTGCTCCCTTCTCCAGGGGCACCTGCAGTTCCTCCCCGTGGGACACTTTGTTGACCGAGGCTGGGTCAAGTGCACAAGTACAGGTCACCGCTTCTCCAAAACGCACTTAGCCCCAGGTGTTTTCTGAGCTGCAAAGCGTCCTGTTAGCACTGGGGCCGTTCCCTTTGCCGCAGGACTGGGGGATGTCCCCAAGAACCCACCTGAGTGCGCAGCACCCCCCACCCACCCCGCTCCAGCCTGCGCCCAGGCTGACTCCAGCAGCTCCCGGGAGACACGCACCAGGAGGGGCTCCCCATCACGCCGTGCCGGGTAGGGCAGACCGCGAAGGTCGAGCCCCGTCGAGGGGAGCACCGCGAAGCGCCCCCGGCCGGGCCCGCGATCGCCGCCGCCTTCAGCACCATGGCCAGAGCCCGGTGCGGGACGGGGCGCCGGGGCCGCTCCGCGCACCCACCGACACCCAGCCCTCCCCACGCAGGGGGGTCTCCCCCACTCCAGCCCGGCTCTCGAGGAGCGAGACAGCACGGAGGAAGGGGAAGGGGGGAAGGAGGGGGCGCCCCGCGATTGCCGCCCCATCGGCGGGGCGGGAGTTGACGGAGCGGCGGGACAAGACCCCCGGGATGCCGGACCCGCTCAGGTTTCACTCTCGCCTCGTTTGTTGCGGTACGGGAGGGGGAGGTTGTTGTTGAAGGAACGGGGGGAGGGTGGGGGGGGAGAGGTGTTTGTGCGTGAGTCTTTGTTTCCAGTAACCAAATTTCTTTTGTTCTACAAATTGCCTCAATAGCGTCTCTTTGCCGCGGGCAAACGGGCTCAGCGGAGAACAATTAGCATCACAATGGGCTTTTGGCCTCGCAGGCCGCTTTGTCTAGCGGCGGCCGCCCCGCCGGGGCACCGCGGAGAGGGGAGGCGGCCCGGCCGTAAATCTACCAGCTACAAATTGAGTCCCGGCAGGAGAGGGCCAAGAAGGGCTCGCGGGATTCATGCGGCTTCTCTTCTCGCCGTGCCGTGGGAGGTAGTGCCTTTCCCACCTCCTGTGCTTTTAACAGGCCTGACGCTTTCCCCCCGCCTCCCCGCTCCAGCCCCCGTCTCAGGGCTGCAGGTTCCGTCGGCTGCCCCCGATTCCGCGCCTGCCCTGGCTAAACTCACCCCCCGGCAGGATGGGGTCGGCTTGTGAAGACGCTGCCCCGGGCACCCGCACCGCTCCGGAGCTCTGTGCCCCTGGAGCTCTGTGCGCCGGGGACGTGCTCCAAAGAGCCCCGCAGCCGGGCACACCTCACCTGGAAGGGGTGGGACAGGACCGGCCGCAGGCCTGTGGGAAAGGGCACCTGCAGAGAGAGGCCGGATTTAAACCCGCGCTGGGCCCCGACGGGCACACGCCTGGGTGCGCACAGGCACACAGGGCCCCGCCGCTGCTCCGGGCACACCGCCCGGGGACCCCGAGGAAGCCCCCGCAAGGCCAGCCCTGCCCTCCCCGGAGCGGGCTGCGCTCGGTTGCAAAATCCCCGGAGAACCCTCGGTGGAAAAAACACGGCGTTGCACAGGTCTGACCGCGACACGGTTTATTTTTCCTCTTCTTCTCCTTCTTCTTCAGAAAACCCAAAACACAGCCGCGGCTACAAACAGCTGGACCACCGCTGCTAAAAATACTCTTATTTACAATATACATATTTGTTATGAAATATAATCAATAAATACCGACAGCGACAAATTAATATAATTTACCGTTAACGAGTACAAAACCGTGATTTGTTTTTGTCCGCCCGCTCCCGCTGCGCTTTTCAGCCGAGCGGGGCGGGACGGGACGGGACGGGGCGAGGGGGAGCGGGGCCACCGCCGCCCCCGGCGCGCAGCGCGGGGAGCCCCCGCCCCGCCAGCCCTTTGAAGGCCACAAGCAGGGGGACAGCGGCCGGAGGGGGGGCTCACAGAAAGGCGGGGAAGGCGGCGGGGCCGCGGCGCAGGGCGGCGGGCGGCGGCGCGGCGGGGCAGGGCGAGTCCCAGGGCCCGGGGGAAGCGGTGGCGGGGGGTGGCGGCGGCGGGGGGGGCTCGGGCAGGCTCTGCTCGGCCAGACGGAGGCTCTGCGTGAGCGCCCAGATGTAGTTGTGGGCGAAGCGGAGCGTCTCGATCTTGGTGAGCTTGGCGTCGTCGGGGAAGGTGGGCAGGACGCTGCGGAGCGCGTCCAGGGCGGAGTTGAGGTGGTGCATGCGGTTCCTCTCCCGGTCGTTGGCCTTCATGCGCCGGCTCTTCTTCTGCTTGCTGAGCAGCCCCTCGTTCCACGCCTTGCCGCGGCCCCGCCGCGCCTTCCCCTTCCTGCGGGCCGCCGCCTCCCGCGGGGCCAGGGCGGTGCGGGCCGGCGAGGAGTCCCGGCTGCCCGCGGAGCCCCCGCCGGCCGCCGGGGAGGGGTCCTCGGCGCCGCCGAAATACGGTTGCCCTTCGTCCGGCGAGCGGTCGCTCTGCGGGGCCATCCTGCGAAGCCAAACCTGCGTTGGCCGGCCCGGGAGAACCCTCTCCCCCGCGGCTGTGCCTGCTGAGCCCGGCCGAGGCTGCGGGACCAGGAGAGCGGCTCTGGCTGCGCGCCCCGCGCCGCTCCCCCCTCCCCGCGGTCCCTCGAGTGCGGGCAGGAGAGGTTGCGTCGCCGGCACACGACTGCCGTTAAGCCCCTATATATAGGGCCGGCAGACAATGGGGATTTCCCGGCCGGGCGGCGTGTGCGCCCCCCCGCCCGCACCCACCCCTTGGCACGCTTTTATCTTATCAGTCCGACGGGAGCGTGCCGGGCTCGGCACCGCCCGCCGCCCTGGCCCCACCACGCGAGACCCCGCCGGCTCCCACGCCGCGTGGTGCCGCGCGGGGACCCCCCGCCCCTGCCTACCCCCTCTCTCCTGGGACTGCCCCCGCCCCCCAGACCTCCCCCGGGCCGAGCCGCCGACCCCGCGCAGGGGGGGCTGCGCCGCGGCCGGGGCGGCCGCACGCTCCGGGTTCCGCGGGGATGTGGTGGTGGTCGGGGCGGGGTACAGGGGCCCGGCGGGGACAGGGCGCTGCCAGCACCCAATACTGCCGCGGGGCAGCGCTGGGCCCCGGGGTGGCCGGGGACGCACGGCCAGGCCAGGCGGGGTCCCCTCCGGTGCCGGCCGTGAGGACCCCCCTGCTCCCGTTCCGGCTCCGCTCCCCTTGGCAAAGCCACAACCACTTCCCGCGGCTCTGGCTCCGCGGCGTACGCCCGGGATACCCCATTCGACCCCTTATGGGAGCGAGTGGACCTCGCCTTATCCAGTCACCCCTCTCCTCGGCCCTGCAGAGCCGGGAACAGCCCCGCGCCCCTCGCGCATCGACCGGCTAAGCTGCGGGCGCTGCTCTGCGGGCGGCGAGCGCCGGCACCGGAGGGGACGGGACACCCTTCTCCAGCCCCCACCCGCGTCGTGACTTTGCTTCCCCAAGGAAAACGGGGGCTGGATCCCGCAGGGGAAGGGCCCTCCCGAGTCTCGAGGCCACCCCAGCGCCGCCAGCCCGGCGCTGGGCCCCGGGGGGAGCCGCGCTGCCCGCGGGGCTCGGTGCGCAAACGTGCCGGGGATTTTTGCGCACCGGCTGGGGCCGCCGGCGGGGAGCGGCCCGGGCCCGGGACACCTTTCCCCGGCGGAGGGAGAGGGGCCGGGGGCGGTGTGGCCGGGCTCCCCCTGCACGGCACGGCGTCCCCGGGGGTGCGGGCAGGGCCGCTGGGAGGGCACAGCCCCGACTGGGCAGGAGTCCCCCCGCTCCTTCACCAAAGCGGCGCGGCGGATCCCGGCCGGGGATCCCGGGGCCGGGAGAGGCCGGAGCGGCCCAGTTGGGCCCCAGCGGGAAGGGCGACAGCTTCCCCAGCCCGGGCCGGTCCTCGGCCCCGCGGGGTGGCCTTGGCCGGCGCGGTGCGCGGCGGTGCGGGGCTGTGCGCGCTGCCTGTCCAGGAGCGCGGTGCGGCGGGCGAGCAGCCCCGCTGGGAGGGCGGGGGAGCGATGCCGAGGGGGGCCGGGCGCCCCTTCTCGAGGGGCGGCTAGGAGGGCAGCGAAGGATGAATAGGAAGGGCCCGGAGGGGTTGGGGGTTTTTTTTTGTGCCTGTGCAATTGGATGACAAAAAAATCTGGCGAGCGAGTTTCCAAGCCTCAGACTGCCCACTTCAAACGTCCTTCAAACAAAAGCTGAAGAGGAAAAGAAAGCCCCACCTGGTACCGCTGTTTGCTAAAATAATAATAAATAGATTTCGTTTAATAAATAATTACAAGAGATTGTAAAGTGGAGTGCTTTGGGAAGCATTAATCATGGGGCTGGGGGCAGACATCACCTGCTGGCAAACAAGACAACTTTATTGTTAAATCACCTTCCCACTGCCACTTTCCGATAACTCCCTCCCGTCGCCACAAAGCCCGACCGGAGATGTTTACTCATAGTTAGCATAACAAGCACCATAATGCCACGAACGTGATAAAAACCTGCGGGGGCACCGCGGCGGGCTCCCGCTCACACCTGGCCGGGCCGCCCGGCGCAGACCTGGCACCCAACGGCCCTTCCAGGAGGGGCCCTGCTGCCGTTTACATTGGCCTGGTTTATGCTGCTTTATAACAGCTTTACTGCAATCCCTATCTCCCGGCCCTATTTGTCTTATTTTATTGAAAACATATGGTAACCAGAGCAGCCCCGGCGCATCCCTCGCCTGCCAGGCGTCGGGGACGTTTGGCGAGCCGGGGATCGGCCGCAGCCCGCCCGCCCGCCCGCCGGGGGCTGTTTGCTCTGGAGAGGGGAGGGCAGATAAGGCTGGGCTCGCTCCCCATCCTGGAGGTGACCGTAGGGTCGGGAGACCGCCGGCCTCTCCGCGCCCTCTACCCACCCGTGGCCAGCGGTGCGCGCCCGCGGGGCCGGTGATGCGGCGGCGGCGGCGGCAGCGGCGGGCGCACGGCGGAGGCACCTGCCCCGGGGCCACCCCGTCCGTCCCCCCGCTGCCCCGGGCTGGGGCTGCTCAGGAGGTACCGTGATTTGCGGTGCCATATGTCGGGCGGGTCGGCGGAGCAGCTGCTGCCCCGGCCCTACCTACCCGGCGCATAATACCTGGGAAGCCGCAGCCCCGCGTCCCCCTTTGAGAGGGCAGCGCGGCGGCGCCGGGCCCCGCGCCGCTGTTTTGTGACTTTATTGTGGCGCCCAACAGATGCACGCCGGCCCCTCCTGCCCCTCGCCCCGGTGCGAGCGCGCTGCTCGGGACACAAGGAGCACAGATGCCAGGCGCAAGGTGCACCAGATGCCCCCCTTTGTGAATTCAAACAATATTTCTCCCTCTCCCCCCCCACCCCCTCCTCCACCGCCGCACCGCGCCCCCGCCTCTTCCTACAAGAACGAGAGGAGAAGGGGCGCAAAAATATATGTAAAACACCAAACCAAGCAGGGGAGGAAAGGCGAGCCCTGGCAAGCGGCGGCTGGAGCGCGTCCCCAGGAGCCGCCCGACGGGGCGCACGGCCGGGCGCGGCCACGGGGAGGGAGGCAGCCACGGGCGGGGGCCGGAGGTGCCCGCAGAGGCGCAAGGAGCATCCTCGGGAAGTCATTCCTGGTGAGCGCTGAGCTGTGGCACAACAGAGCAGCGCCTGCCCCTTCGATGGGCAGCTGAGGGGTGAGAAGTTCCAGAGCGAGCCAGTGGGATGGGTCCTCAGCGTTTGTAACCTCATCGTGCATCAGCACCTCTGCTATGGAGAGAAGCTGAGAGAGCTGGGGTTGTTCAGCCCAGAGAAGAGAAGGCTCTGGGGAGCCTTCCAGTGCCTAAAGAGGCTCCAAGAGAGCAGGAGAGGGGCTTGTGACAAGGGCATGGAATGGCATGGCAAGAGGGAATGGGTTCACACTGACAGAGGGCAGGGTTAGATGGGATACTGAGAAGGAATTCTCCCCTGTGAGAGTGGAAAGGCCCTGGCACAGGTTGCCCAGAGAAGCTGTGGCTGTCCCATCCCTGGAAGTGTTCAAGGCCAGGTTGGATGGGGCTGTGAGCAACCTGGTTGAGCAAGTGACATCTCTGTTCATGGCAGGGGGGGGTTGGAACTAGATGATCTTTAGCATTCCAATCCAGTCCAAACCATTCTATGATTCTGTGCAAGGAGAAATAAGCCCTGGGGTGAGGGGTGCTGTCACCACACCAGAGGAGGAGAAGCCCTGGTGGAAAGCCCAAGAGTTTTCAGCGTGCAATCCCACTCTACAATAAACATCTCTCCATGTTTATATGTCCTTAAAACAACCTGACAGGAAACGGCTTCATAAGGCTGCAAGAGCAGAGAGCTGTTCTGACACTGAGACCTTTTGGGTCAGAATGCAACAATCTTTAGCAATGCAAAAACCTGGGTTATCTCTGGATAGGAGAGAGGAAAGGAGCAGAAATACCATGAAGAGGAAAGTCAGGGAACAAATGCCGAGTAGAAAAGGGTCAGTTGGATTCCGGGCTGTGATGCCAACAGGTGGGTGCTGTGAAACCTGTTACATTAAAGTATTTACTCAACCCTCCGAGCACCTGCCCAGGCAATGGAAGATGCTCCTAATTTCTCTGGGAGCCAGTCTCTTCCCGTCGTTCCCAGCTCTGCCAGGCTTGCTCTCCTCCCCGTTTGTGGCAACGGTTCCTCGCCCCAGCCTGTCTCTCCTGCCAGAAAAAAAAAAAAGGGGTTTCTCCTCTGCCCTGATGACAGCCTGGACAGACAGGATGGGTTACACATCTCCCTCCCTTAGGTTTTCCAAGTGCTTTAATCTTTACACCAAGTTTCTGGCGAGGTCTGGCTGAATCCACCACCCATACCTGTGTATATCTGCCTGCATGGAAATCTCAAATAATAACTGTAAATCTCAAAGAATAACTGTAATCAGACATTCACTGTCTCCTCAGCTACAACTGAACATGAAGTTTTCATGACAGGACATCTCCAGCACTCAGACTTCATCAGCTGGCAGTGGTGTCTCCAGCTACCAGTTGGACAACACAGCCTCGAGGCCTCAGTATTCATTTGCACCAACTCTCCATCAAATAGTTACAGACCATGGATATGCTGAGCTCAGGCTGCCACCTTCCTGAATGGCACTTCACTCCTCTAAGGATAAAAATCTAACTCCTGGCATTTTGATGCAAGATGAGGTTATAAGCGCTGGTTGTACTGGCTCTCTCTGAAACTCCTCACTCCCTCATCAGACAGACAGATGGTGCTTCCCGACCTCCAAAAATAATTAAAGATGTGCTTTTCTCTCTGACTTAAAGGGCTCCACCGGTCAGATTTTGAACATACCAGAATGCACCAGAGAGCTGGCTTCTGAGAAGCAAAAAAAAAAAAAAAGTTGCTAAAAGCCACGAGTTTGGAAGGCAATTCCCCCATCCGGTCTGGAGAAAAGGGCAGAGGTGGTGCCCTGATGGACTCACACAGCACTAACCCCTCCCTCTCCAGAGCTTCACTGAAGCCCTCAACATGAGACAGAGCAAGATGGAGGGCTTTGACCCTTTTTTTTTTGCCAGCTGAAGTTGGTGCCAGGTCGCTGGGAGATGTGCCCGCCGTGGTGCAGGGGTCACTGCTCAAGCCAAACCGCTGCTGCCAGGAGGGATGTGACTCAGAGTTGTGGTGTGGGTATTTTGCCCGCTGGCCCCGTGTAGCTGCCGGTGGCCGGTTCAGGATCCTCCCGTCGCCATTCCCAGCCGTGCCATCCACCCCTGGCCGCCTACAGGGTTGTGGTGACCGTCCCACAGGGCTGAATGTGCTTGCAGCCCCCACACCAAACCCAGCAACACTCCATCCCCTCCCTGACCCGTGCCAGCCCGGTCTCTTCCCACCTCCTCCCTCCTTTCAGCCTCAGGAAGCATCGCCCCTTCCTCTGCCCCAGCCTTGTCATCCCCTGCTCCCTTCCCCACATCTTTGCGCCCCTCTCCTGGCACACCTCGCACCAGTGTCCCTTCTAGGTAGTGTTGGTGCCTCATCCCAGCTTTCCCCAGCTATCCCTACCTATCTGCACACACCCTCTCCCAGCTCTTCGTCCAGCACGTGGCTTAACCTGCCGAATTCCTCGCCTTTGAATTGGAGCTTTCTCCTGCCCTGCACTGCTGCAGTGGTGAGGAGAAGTCACGTTTATATCCACCCAGGACCGTTTTCTTCCCTGAGTCGAGGTGTATAATGAACCTGGGGAGCCCAAGAGCAGCACAGCCCCTCCTGCCAGCCCACGCCAGGACCCCTGCAAAGGTGAGCAGCCAGCCTGACTTCTGCATCTCAATAAGAAATGATGTATTTGCAACGAAAAAAAAGAAGAAAAAAATTAGATATCCATGTATTTTCACACAAAACACTGCAGTTGTGACCCAGAATTTTAGCTGCAGCCCAGCTCTGCAAGACAAGGCACCACCGACCTATACATGCGATTTTGGTGAACCCACAATTTAAACTCGTGCCAACAGGTTTCAGTGGGAGAAAGGCAGCGATCCCAAGGCAGGTAACGGCAGGGAAACCTCCAAGCACTCACTGCCTGCGTGCAGCCAGAGCCTCGGAGCCGTCTGGGTGGCTCTGCCAGCCCCAGCTGCAGGGAGGGGAGCCCAGGACCAGCCCTGCCCACAAAGCTGGGCTTGAGCACGACCTGAGGGGGATGCTCCAGCCCATGCCATGAAGGGTCCCAGCAGCTTCCTGGGTCTTACCAGCAGCCTTATCATTTTCCTTCATTACTACACTTCTTTAATCCTACTATGGCTCCTCCGGGCACCCAGCCCCGGCTGCGCTCAGGAGCTCCAGGGTACCGGCATTTTGGGGGCGTCTCTGGCTCCAGCAAAGCCCCCGTGTTCAGGGACACGTTATCTGACATCCTCTCATCATCTGACATCCCCTCACTCCGGGCACTACGCCTCCCTCCCCCAGCTCTTCACCGCAATCCCCACCATTTCCCACCATCATTTAAGTTTCTAAAGTAATTTCTTTTTTCCTTTTTTGTCCCTTTTTTTTTTTTTTTTTTAAGCAAACCATCTACCATATGTTCTCCCCTGAAAGGGGTAATTGTTAACAGATCATTAAA